TATAAAAACCTGTACACTTATCTCAGGTATTACATTCATCCATCACCCTCGAAGTAGTTCCCCTGGGAGTGAACACAACGATCCCAGCGCCGCTGCCAAGCCTGGAAGCATCCCTGGAAATCTTTCTTTGTCAGCCTGTCAAGCACCATCTGCGATTCTGCCTGAATCTCTTCTATCGTCTCAAATCTCCTTCCCTTTAGCTGAATTTTCATCTTTGGGAAGAGGAAGAAGTCACACGGAGCTTAGAAAGGAAGTTGGGGTCGGTTCTTGCAAGATCTTTGAGCTCCTGACAAACGAGAAGTCGATTCTGCTTCTGGTCCTCAGACAGGATGCGTCGCATGTGGAGTTCTTCCTTTAGAATCAGCTGACAGGTCCCATAGCCTATCCCAACAATGTCGCATTAGTCGTTGATGGTACGACGTCGATCTTCGTAACTTTTTCGGGCGTTGTGCTCGAAGATGGTCGTCCAGAACGCTCGTCATCATCGACAGAGGTTCGGCCGGCCCTTTTTAAAACGTGAATGCCACACAAAAGTTTGCGGACTCCCCAAATGTTTGCTTTAGCATTTCATAGGTTTCCGTAGCGGTTTTGGCGAGTCTTTGGCAAAATTTGATGCACACGCGCCATTCCGAAATCGCAGGAGGGTCGGTGTAATGCACTACCAAAACGCCCGTAACTAAGAAACAAATGCTAATTCGATGATGCCGGCTGGCACACTGATTCACTATGAATGTAGGCCGCACCCCCTAGCGGCAGAAGCTCGTACTACATCCGGTTCGCCCTCTATTGACACAGTCTTGAAACTTTCCGATCGCACCTCGTATATGACATTTTGAGAACCGGAGGATTCTTGAGGTGCTAGGGGTCTACGTACTTGGCACACACCGTGTATCTTAGTAATTCCAAGTCAAAGAACTTCTTACATGTTGTATATGAGGATCATCTTTTCCAGCTATAAAAATTCCTTTAAGCTGTTCTGATCCCCGGCGCCTTTAATCTAGATACTGCTAAGTGAACTGATAGAAAAAAACTTGCACGAAAGACCTTCAACTGTCCATACGCCTTGTAAAATTGACACTTAATTAAATTAAATGAATTTGCTGTTCATTACGGAAGAATATTTTAAAGAAACGAGGCTTATCTAGGACTGCAGCAAGGAACAAGTTATAGGAATTCCGGACATAAAAATTGCCACACATACCGACGTGATTTACCGCGTTATTGCAGTGGCGGTTTCATACTTACGGAGAGACAGTTGAAGGTCGAGACAGCCCTAAATACAGCATTTCTCTAAAACGGTTCTTGAGATACAGCTTTCGTCGACTTGGAAAAATGTGGGTGGATTACCTTGGAAACGTGTAGCTTGCTAGTATGGATGGTAAATGCACTGTAAAACTAGAAATGAACCGAGATCCTACGTTTCTTTATTCTTGTGTTTGTTTTACGTCGTTAAATTTTGTATGTCAAATGCAGATCCTACTTTTGGGTAGCGGAACCGTGTTGAAGGGGACTGTGTTGCCTATGTTTCGGAGAACTTGATGTCTCCATCTTCAGGAGTGAAATGTGTAAAGAGGAGTCAAGCCTAAGACCCGTGGTGACTGACGGTCATTCTGTCAGCCCGCCTTAGTGTCGAGCCCCCCTTTCATGGGGTCTCAGCCAGATTTTACATTGTCTGGTGCTTTTTAATTGTCTTAGGGTGACCGCTCCGACGAGAGAGAACGGGTCTCGGATTAGATTTTCCTCTGTCAATATAATTCCACCGCAGATCCGTATTTACTTATGTACCATTTCGGGAATGGACCCCATGGCGGTCCATTTCCACAGAGACATAGATAAAAAGACGTAATGGAAATTTCTGACGAGCGTTGTTTCCTTAAAATATTATGTTTGTTTTCATTTGCGTGGTGAGGATGGCGGGAATTAGTAATACGAGGTGCGATCGGAAAGTTTCAAGACTGTGTCAATAGAGGGCGAACCGGATGTAGTACGAGCTTCTGCCGCTAGGGGGTGCGGCCTACATTCATAGTGAATCAGTGTGCCAGCCGGCATCATCGAATTAGCGTTTGTTTCTTAGTTACGGGCGTTTTGGTAGTGCATTACACCGACCCTCCTGCGATTTCGGAATGGCGTGTGCATCAAATTTTGCCAAAGACTCGCCAAAACGGCTACGGAAACCTATGAAATGCTATATTATCTGGCAACTGTCTTGTGTAACCTCTATAATTTCCAAGAATTCTAATGTCACATTTATCTGATATAACCTCAAAGTTAGTCTTGCCGTCTCCAGGTTTGTACAGCACGACACATGTATAGCCTATGGAATGTTCCGTACACAAAGCTTAGACTTGTACAGCAGACTGTGAGAGCCGTTAGTGTGTGTCTATGTGATGCAATTTAACCGGGCGACACCCAACTTGCCCCACGATCCTTGACCCGTGACCAGAACTCTCCCCTGACAAGATGTATCGAAAGTGGGTTGCTATTTTCGAGCTTAATTCGTAACGTAAAGAAGAGAGCGTATTGAGAGGCGGATGTCTTGTATAACGCGATTTAAAATCTTTCGGCCTCGTATAATTAAGTGCTTATGTTACTGTGTCGACAACTGAAAGCGTGTACAAAAATGTTGTAAAGTTTGTTCCAGTAACTTATTACAATTCACGAGTGTTTCTTGTTGTTTAGTTGTCAGTATCTCATAATGTCAGAGAACGTTTCTCTGTCGAATTTTTTATATTTCTTTTTTAATTATGAGAGGTTTCAGGTTTTCGCGACTGTCATCTGAATTGTTGCGCTGTGTAGTCTAGTAGAAGTTGGCCGACGTTTCAGAGGTGCTTGTTGCCTGCATTTGACCTTGCATCTAATCTGTGGTTCAGATGTATCTCGCTCTGCTTTGCTGCTTTGTACAGCCAAAATAATACTGTATTTGAAATTGAAACTTCGATCATTAATTCTGCATTGGAACATCGAGGAAGAAGTACACTTAAAAACTGCGAACCTTTACAATAATTCTATCCACCAAAAGGTCGTGAAGAGGCGTTACTTGTGAACGGATACGTTTCTGTTAGAAGCATTGTGATGCATTTACAGTTACTTATTCTCTACCAGTTGAAGTAATCCAAAACCAACATCACTCAGGCGAGGGATTTGTAGTTGCTCAAGCGAGAAATTCTTCAGCACCTCTTATTGTCTGTATTGTCTCGAAACAGTGACTGATTTTAAATAGTTTTATCTTGAAGAAGCATCCATAAACCTTGAATGAATATCGATAAACCTTGAAGAAGTATCGATAAACCTTGAAGAAG